AAAGGTGGCAGACTGTAAATTTGTTGAAGTAATTTCCACGTAGGTTCGAATCCTACTTTCTCCAAAAATATATTTTTATATTTATACGTAATTTTATAAATACAGGTAACTGTGATTTTTTTATAATTAAAATAAATATTTATTATTTATATTTTTCACAAGAAAATAATAAAAATATATTTAAGTACATTAAGGGTACAGCTTTTTGCTCTATTTTTAATTCAAATATTGCTGAATGTTCCTGTAGGGAATCATGTGATAGTAACTTTTATATGAAAGAGAAGGAGTTGCACCTTTTAGATAGAAAAAAAGCACCATTATTTCAGACTATTCTAAATAATTTAAAAGATAGTAATAGGGAAATATACCCTTTCGCCTTGTTGTAGTTTTAATTCTTTAGCCTATTATTCAAATAATGTGGAATATGACATAACTGGCAGATATTTTAATAGATGTAAAATAGGCAATAGATTATTATATATATCGATGACTACTAAAAAGACTATAAATTTATGTTTAAAATTATCTAATAATGAATTTGCAATTCAAAGAATGATGCTTTATTTAATTTACATGAAACCTATCCAGAGGGAACATCTAGTATTTTGTTAAGAGGAGTCTGCTATTATTTTAACCAGTACACCCTTTTTTAAGAGATATTGATGAAAATAAAATTAAAAAAAAACATTTATAATAAATAAATGTTTTTTAAATATAATTTAAATAAAAATAATAGAAATTTTTTTATCCTTTAAGACAATATAAAATGAGAATTAATATAAGAATGTTATATTATTAAAATTTAAATCTTTGTTATTTTAAAAATATATATTAAATCATTAATATAAAAATTAAATAGAGTTTGATCCTGGCTCAGAATAAATGCTATCGGTATGCTTAACACATGCAAGTTGAATGTTTTTAAAACATAGCGAACGGGTGAGTAACACGTGAATTATCTACCTTTTAATTCGGAATAATTAGGTGCTAGGAGCGGGAGACGCACTACGCGGACGTTTCGCAACTGAGGGATCTGCCCCACTTACAGACGGGAGAGGAGCAGAGACGCTGGCAGCACGAGAAGGTCCCGACAAGGGAGGAAGGGGATCCGACACGGCAGCTGTCACCAGCGCCAGTCGTCGACGAGCCAAATCCCGCTCCGATAAGCCACGATCGCGCTCCAGGACCAGCTGTTGCTGCTGAGTTTGGGCTGCAGCGAGTTGATCCCGGAGTTTCGCGGCGGTCGCATCGGCTTCTTTCAATTTGTCACCTGGATTGACAATAACGAGTGAATATGGGGTTACTAGCAAAGACTAAAAGAGGATCCACGTGCTCGTGCGGCGAAGCTTGGATTCCAGCTCTGTTTGTGCACGCTTGCCATCCGCCCACTCGGTAGCCGCCTTGTCCCGCTGGCGTTCGCTGTCCGCCAGCTTCGCTTGGATCTCGTCGCGCAATTGAGTCATGCGCACGAATTCTTCGAGCGCGTAATCCCGTCCGGCAGACGCTTTCTCGAGCGACTCCTTGGTGTCTTGCAACTCTTCAGAGAGTTGAGCCAGGGCTACATCCGGCGATGAGGGAGGTGGATTTGGCGCGGGGGACCCTCCACGCGCCGACCCTAAGGCGGATCCGCTATGGGTGAATCCCACATAGTCGTTGGTCACCACCTCCTCCTGGGTCAGACGCAACTCGTCACGGAGCCGGTCCAAGCTCGCATCCGCAGCTGCTCTAGCAGCCTGAGAATCCTCCAGATCCCGCTCGAGGTCGTGGATCCGGGATTGGAGCTGGTGGATCTCAGATCCGGCGAGTGCCATCTCCCTAAGGAGATGGTCGTTGTCATCCCGCATGACATCTCGCTGACGGGAGGCGCGATCCAGCCGTCCGGTCAGGTCGCGGATCTTGACCGCCTGATCAGCCAACAAGAGTCGCAGGTCCTGCGACCGAGAGGCCGCACGGAGCTCCCACCCCTGGATCTCCATTGCCTGGTCATGGACCTGGGCTCGCAAGGTCTGAAGTTGGGTAGTGTGCAGAGACGCAGCTTGGTCTTGGGCATCTTGAGCAGTCTGGAGCTCCGCCGTCAGGGTTTGCACCTGATCGGAAAGCGCCTGGGCTAGAACCCGCAGATCGGTGGGCGACATAGAAGACGGACTGACATACGTTCGATATTACAGTGTCACTTCAATGCATACTAAAGTAAGAGCACTAGCCTGAGCTTACGCCTTCAATGACTTTGCTTCAGTGGGGCTTACGTCGTCGTGGAGGATCTTAGCGAGGTCCTCGTGGTTGACGTGGGCGGCCTCTTCGAGATCCTGGTCGTGCTTGACATCGAATTCCTTGCCGCGAGCCTCAGGTCCGATAAGTGTCAGCAGGAACACGTAGACGTAGACCACACCCAGAAAGATGCAGATCACCTTGCCGTACTGGTAGCGACTTTCTCCGTTCTCGCCCTCTGGCAGCGGGAAGTGCTCGCCGAGTGAAGCCTCGATAGTCGACGATGCTGAGGAAACCAGGTTTCCGAGTTGGTACGCCGTACCCACGACAAACGCACTGTACGACGGGGGAGACAGCTCCATTAAGTGGATTGGGATGACACCCCAAGCACCTTGGACGCAGAACTGCTCGAAAAAAGCGGCGATCATGATGCTCTCGTCGCTAACGTAGCAGTATGGATACAGAATAGCAGCTCCAATGACCGTCATGACAAGGATCGAGAGACGACGACCGAACACTTGCGAGTAGTAGCCCACAAGAGTACCGCCACAAATGGCACCGAGATTGGCCACGACTTGAGTCACGGTGACTTGGTTCGAGTTGAACTCGAACTGGTTCTCAAGCATCGTCGGGTACAGATCCTGCGAGCCGTGTGACTGCAAGAGTATGAGCAGTTAGAGCTTTGCCTACCGCGAGAGCGTGGCGCCGAGTAGCTTACGAAATATTGGATCGTTGCTTTAGGGAGAAGCTGATCCCCGAGATGCTATCCACCAATCCATGTACCCTCTTTAACGGGCCCGCACGCATAGAATTCGTGATACGTCCGTAGAAGGTAGGTTAGGCCTTAGCACCGACGCTCCAGAGTCATTTTTGGCGGAAGTCCCCGACAGATCGATGAAAGTTGTCGTATCATTGATTTTAAGAGCAAACAAGCCCCGAGACGCTATCCACCACTCCACGTAGCGCGCTAACGTGTCCGTACGGATAGATTACTCAAGAGCAATGTTTACCTTGAAGGCGTTAGTTTGGGTATCAAGCACGTTCTCCAGCTTGTCGTAGAGCTCTGCAAG